GCACCTTCGGGAAGGAGGCCGTGCCGCTGGGGGCGCTGGAGGACCCGCGGGCGCCAGCCGAAGCTCACGATCCCACGGAGGCATCTATCGGAGGTGGATAGACCTCCTACCCTGACACGTCGATTAGCGAATTGGCCGTTTTCGGTTCGCGAGAGGGCGTCGCGGCCGTCATGTTTGCGGGTCCAGGTCCGTCGGTTTCGGTCCCAGGCCGTTTTCGCTAAGGGGAGGTTTATTAAAGGGAGGTTTGTCAACCGCCGGATCTATACACCACCGCCATGTCAGGGCCGTTCTGGGCCCCAGCATGGTGTATAGACCCTCCTGGATTCGGCCAGGAGGGCGTACGCACCATGCCAGGGGCCAGGATGGCCCTGGCCTGGCACGGTGGTGGTGTACAGATGCGTTCTGCGTGCACGACCCAGGAAGCCCGCGCGAACTTCCAGACAGGCTGTTCCCCGCACAGTGCTTGCACCGACGCCCCCTCCCCCTCTCGCTCCTCGGCTCCTCGCTTTCCCGTCGGCCCCTGTTCCTTGCCTTGCCCGCGTTCTCTTTGTCGGCCTGTCCTGTTGTCCGAATAAGAGAACGCTGTATTTTCCACATGTGTTCACGCCCACGCGCCGCCTGGTGCGTGGCTTGTCTGTCTGATTGCCAGTCTCACTCGGTATGCCCAGGCGCGCTTCCGCGTGCCGTCAGGGGCCCGGCCCGCCGCGGCCGGTCAGCAGACCGCTTCTTCTTCTTCCAGGCAGTGGAGCGGCGCGAAAGAGCGGCGTCGTCTGCGCCGACGTCGTCGCGCAGGCTGCGCCCCGACGTGGCGTGCCGCGCGGGTTGCCCGCAGTGTCTTGGCGGAGCTCCGCACGGCCTTCCCCTGGTCGGCGCGGGGGGCCCCTCGCGCGCTCCGCGCGCCAGACGCGGGTCTCGGCGCAGGGCCAAGCTCTCCAACGAAGTTCTGCAAACGAAGTGTTGTAAACGAAGCTTCGTAACGAAGCTCTGCAAACGAAGCTCTGCAAACGAAGCTCTGCAAACGGAGCTCTGAAAGCGAAGCTCTGCAAGCGAAGCTCTGTACACGAAGCTCTGCAACGGAGCTCTGCAAGCGAAGCTCTGAAACCGAAGCCATGTAACGAAGCTCTGTAAACAAAGCTCTCTGACTAAGCTCTACAAACGACGCGCTGTAGCGAAGCTGAGTAACGAATTTATGCCCCGAAGTGACAACGAATACAGCAACACTTTGTAAAAGGGGGGTAAATTCCTTGTTAGGGTAGCGTTGGTATTGTTGGTGCAAAGCTTAGATACAGATGCGTAAACGAGCACATGTGTCCTACATATGTGTGTCTTTGGCTCAAGTTAGCCATCTTGCAGGAGTCATGCTCAAGATTTGCTTCCAGCCGATGAGTGTTGCAGCTCATCCTGTTTTTGGCATGCAATGAAACATGACCTTTTTTTGTTTGGCCTCTTCGCGCTATGCATATTGTAATATCCTTGCCTGCTGCCAGGACTAGAAGGTCTATGGTCGGATGGGCTGCGTTGTGCGCATCATCAAGTGATGCCGCAACAGATGGTGTACTTCATTTCAGAAGGACGAATAAGAATTTCATCGGCGGTTTCATTGTGAAACTTGATCACATGGTGGTTGGCAGCCCAAAGGGAAAGATCAGAAGGATCTTGCGGGACGTTGGGGGCTCGTGAATGGTCCCAGGAATGCCTGTCAGCTAGCGAGCGCACCACGACCATGCACATGCTATTGTTAATTTGATGGTCAAACGGCGTGAACAGCCATCTGATGAGATGGCCCATAATGCATATGCCATTAGCACTTCAGAGCAAAACTTGTCGGACATTTTTCATGACAGTAATTGCGATCGCAGGGAATGGGGAAGAAGAGTGCATGCTGGAATGGGTCGATTGGCATTTAGCTGTCGGTGCAGATTTCGGCATGCTTTATATTGGCAATAATCCAACGCGTTTGAGAAAACTGATCGCTTCGTTCAGGATCTGCCGCAGAGCCATATTCGTGCTGGCCTCGCCAGTGTGCATCCTGTACGTGGCCAGGTATCTGCTGGCGCAGATGCGTTTGTCAAGCGAGTGGATAAGTTGTGGTGACTTGCAAACATGGATATGTATGTCGTTTTGGATTCGCCCCTCGATGGGTCAGTCTTTGATTTTCTAGCCAGCACGGCTTGGACCTGGGACAGATTTCCTCAGCAGTACTCTATTCCACGCTTCGATTTGGGAGACAACGGGCACACCCTGTAGCCAGGAGACTTCATGGCAAACGCTTATGCAAGAATTTCTGGTGTGCCTGACATCTACCAACCCTATGCCAGCAGGTGAAAAGCGTAAAAGGAAACAGCGGCAGCCATCACAATTTCGCACCATCGTCAACGTCAAATGCGTATGGTAGCTGTGAGGGCATTTTTGGAGATGGTCCACTCATTCTTGGCATGCTGGACGAAATTGTTGTCGCTTCGCGAATCCCCACCAGCCCATCCAGAAACGATGCCCAGAGGAATTGCCTCGATCAGAGAAGTGGGCAGCACACAGAGGAAGCCATTATGAGACATCTTGGGATATCTTGAGCCATCTTGGAGGTCATTTTGGGCTCTCCCAGACGCTCTTGGAGTCATCTTAATCCGTGCCCCCCCCCAAGAGGCCTCCATGTGGCTAAAACCTGTGTAGAATCAATGATTAGGCATTCTCGCCGAGGCCTCTTGGAGCATCTTGGGTGCATCTGGGGGGGCTCTTGGGGCCTCTTGGGGGTCTCTTGGGGGCCTCCGGGGGGCCTCTTGGGGGCCTCTTGGGGCCATTTTGGGGCCATCTTGGGACCTCTTGGGGCTTCCTGGGCGCTTCTTGGGGCCATCTTGGAGGAGATCGATCAAACAAGAGGGGGGGTTTAATTAGCGTCCCCCCTCGGAAGCCCCTAAAATCGCCTCTTGGACCCCTCTTGGAACGCTCTTGGAGTGCTCTTGGGCGCTCTTGGGGCCGTCTTGGGGCTCTTTTGGGGCTCTCTTGGGGCCCTCTTGGGCCATCTTGGAACCATCTCCAGGCCTCGGATGGCCATCGGAAGCGAAAAGGCGAGAAAGCAAAAATCATTGATTTTCCTTAGGTTTTGGGACGATTTTGGCCTCTTCGGGGCCTCCTTGGGGAGCTGTTTGGCCACTTGGAGTTATCTTGGGGCCGTCTTTGGGCTTCTTGGAACCATCTTAGGAGCCATCTCGAGCGATCTTGCGCTATCTTGAGCCATCTTGGAGCTCATCTTGGGTTCTCTGAGGCGCTCTTGGAGCCGTCTTGGGCCATCTGGGACGCTCTAACTACCCGCGGCCCCCCCCGTCCAGGTCCAGGGGAGGGGGTAGGGGGAGGGGTAAACCCCTCCCCAAGGGGGAAGAGGGAGGGGTGGAAGAGGATCTGCTCTAGACCACCTACGCCCAGAGGGCTGGTGGGATACATTGGCTATGTGTGTATTATATCAGTTGACCAGGTCATAGCCTCAGACGCATCAGCTTGGTGTCATCAAGCATGGCTGATAGAAATCACATATCACCCTACCAGCGTCCGTTGAGGTTTGACCTTGGGTTTGTACTGTTTTTTTCTCGTGCGCTCTGCTTAACATTTTGCACCAAGCATCTCGGCAAGGCGCCTGAGTTCGATGGCGCCGACCTGCGGGACCAACCCAGGCGCTGTCCGATGTGGCCCCGGCATTTACCAAGGGGATATCCTGCTCGATGTGCCGTTTTCGTTTTATGTATGTGTGGCAGAGTAACGGCACTTCAACTACAACGTTTGACAAGCTTTCCTGGGAACAGTTATACCATACATCGTCAGTCGCCTCAGTAAAAGAAAGTACGCCCTTGGCATGTGCAATGTCCTCATGCGACTTTCGGTGCGGAGTGATGGGCACCTGTCTGGCATCACGCTAGGCGCGGGAACAGTCCGCTTGCTTTCGAATGATCTGCGTAGCCTTCGGTGGGGGTAATACTGTTTTTTTTTAATTATGTGCAGCACGCAGGTCTGTCATATACCAAATGTCGCAAGGAGGGCATGGGCATGGCTATAGACAAAACCAATGTGCAGCAATTGTGTCAGCACGGCAACCGGGCATACAGCCGTCAAGGATCGACACGCTTGCTCAATCATACTGTTTTATCTTCTTGGTGTTTGCATCGGCCTTCTTGATCATTCGATAGAAATCTTGTATATCTAGAAGGCTTCGCCCTCTGCTGCCGGCCCCCTATTACTAGTGCGGGCGGCTGCGCGGGGGTCTCATTTTGGCCTCTTGGGGGTCTCCTTGGGGCCTCTTGGGGGTCCCATTAGGGCCTCTTGGAAACGATACTCGGGGTCTCTTGGGGGCGTGACGTGGTGGAGGTGAGGGGGGGAAGGGCCGCCAGCGCGGCGCCCCCAGGGGCTGCTGCCGCGGCCACCGTGGCCTGCGGCGGCGGCGTCCCACCATCCCCACGGCGGAGGACGAGCTCACCCACACGGCGACCTGGCGAAGCGCTGGGCAGGTGCGGCGATGGAGGCGGCTTGGCTGGTGCCGAGCTGCGCGACACTGAGGAGGTGAGGGGGGACAGGGCCGCCAGCGCGGCGCCCCCAGGGGCTGTCGCCGCGGCCGCCGCGGCCTACGGCGGCGGCGTCCCACGGCGGAGGAGGAGCTCACCCGTGCGGCGACCTGGCGGAGCGTTGGGCTGCTGTGGTGTGGTGACGGAGGACGGGCTGGTGCCGAGCTGCGTGCTGTGGTGGAGGTGATGGGGGAGGGCCGCCAGTGCGGCGCCCCCAGGGACGTGCTGCCGCGGCCACCGTAGCCTGTGGCGGCGGCGTGGAGCGTGAAGGAGGAGAAAACGGCGGCGGCCGCCGCTGGGGGCAGGACGTCCTCGGCGGCACGGTCGCCTTCCTCCTCGCGGCCTGCCGCGCAGGCGCGCCGCGTGGCGGGGGCGGGGAAGGCGGGCCACGTCGGCCCAACAGCCCTCCCCGCCCCGCTGGGTCCGCCTCGGCTTCTCGTCGGGGGGGCTCCGCGGTGGCCCCCGCCCGTCCTCCTGCGGCGCCGCGGCCGCCCGGCCCTCGGGCCTGAGCGGCTGGGCTGCGCGCGCGGATTCTATTCGTAGTGTCTGTGCGCAGGAGGGAAAGAAACACACAGACACAATGAATCGTCGACTCCCAGGAAAATAGGCACAAATATGGGAAGTGGGGGGAAGACGAAGGCCCAAAACAGATGGGAAGCTATACGGAATATTTTTATTTGTGTGTATTTACTTGTGTGTCCTGGGGCCCCTTTCTGTGCGTGCGTCCCGCGGCTTCGGGGCCCCTCGTCGCCTGTCCCTCGGGGCGGTGGCACGGGCGGGGGCGGGCGCGGCACGACGCGCACCCTCCGACTCGCGGCCATCCTCCTCCTCCTCCCCCTCCTCCTCCTCCTCCGCCTCCTCCTCCTAATTACCCCTCCTTCTCCTCCTCCTCCTCCTCCTCTTCCTCCTCCTCCTTCTTTTCCTCCTCCTCCTCCTCCTCCTCCCTCTTCCTCCTCCTCCTCCTCCTCCTCCTCCTCCTCCTCCTCCTCCTCCTCTCCTTGTCCACTCCACGACATCACTTCCTCTGTCTGCTCCGACCACGCGATGTTTGTTACCAGCTGCTCTTGTGCACCGGCTTCCACGCACGATTTCGAAGGGTAGAACATAGCGTTGACCTTTGGCCCTCCGCGTGTCCACGCCAGCCCGTCCAGAACTGAATTGGGGGAGGAGGGGGCGACAGGGGGAGAGGCAGGAAGAGTCGGGCGATCGCAAACATGGGCGGCGAGGATTAGCGACGGGTCCCGCTTCCATGGGAAATAGCAAATTTCCGCCGCTGAGCGAGGCGGCACCGGCCGCAATTTGGGGAGGGCACCTCCCCCGATCCATGGATTAGGCGACCGCGCGCCAAATCCATGGAGCGTTAATCCATGCTTGCGCGCCCCCGAAAGAGGTCCCGTCCTCCTCCGCCATGTTCGTCCTTCCTCCCCGCCAGGGGCATTCCTCCTGCTCCCCAGACCCCCGGCCTGTGTCAAAGCGTGGTCCCTGAAAATATCAGCCATTTCCCAGGGCTGGCGTTTCTGCTCTTGGCGAGGGCCCTCAGAGGCACAAGACGGGGTTACCCTCACCTCCCTCCCCACTATTCGTCCTTCCTGTCCCTCCCCAGTCCCCATCCCCCTGCCCCCCCCTGACTTTGACACTGTCGCTGTTCCACGACATGTGTTATCCCTCCTCTCCTCGCCCCGTTTCCCTCCTTTCCGCCCGTCATCCCTCCTCCTTTCCTTCTTATGCCTCCTCCTCCTCCTCCTCCTCCTCCTCCTCCTCCTCCTCCTCTCCCTCCTCCTTCCTCCCTCCCCCTGCTTCCCGACGTCGCATGTGTCACAACCCCCAGAGAGGTCTCGGCCCCTTCCCGGGACTGGCGTTGGATCGCGGGCCGCTTGCGACATCGTGGGGGACGGCACCCCGCGAGGCTTTGTCGGGGTTTCCCTGGAGGCCGAGCATGGCCCCAAGCGCACCGTCGTATTTGTTGGGGGGAAACGTAAGACTCGAGTACCCATCGGTCGTTTCCAGTAGGTATTTTTTGGAGTGCCAGATTCCAATCTACTTTAAGCGCCTTTCCACTTCAAGAGTCGAGTGCTTTCCCCTCTTCCCTCCTCTTCAGCGGGCGAGCGGAAGCCCAGTCTACTTCCAACGCCTTCCTACTTCGTGTTTCTACCTACTTCTTCCGACCGATGGGTACGCTGGGATTCGGGTTAGCCGACGATTCTTTGACGAGCGCGTCCTGGATTTTGACCGTCCTGTTTTCGTGGGGTGTCTGCAGCGGGAGATCGCGTCAAGTTTCAAACCAGGTCTCGTGATTTTCATGATGGCCCCGTCAGGCCAATCCAAGTCTTACGTCTGTCCGAATGTTGTCCGCGATTTGAGGGGGCCTTGGGTTGGAGGGTCCAGCACCGACCCCTTCACTTGTCCCTGGGCGCGCTCTGGCGAGGATTGCACGGCGGAGATCCGGCCACGGCGGCGAGAAGGTTCCCCGGTGGCACAACCCAGGATCAAAAAACGCGCATTCGAGCCTCGATGCCCCCAGACCTCCGACGTCGTGATTTGTCCACAGCGTGGCTTCCCAAGGGGCCCGGCCCTGACCTTCCAGAGCGCTCAAAAATAGCACTCCAGACCTATAGATCTATGTGGACTGCCTCAAACCTCGACAGGAATTAGGACGTCGACGTCCTGGTGCTATTTTTTAGCCCTCATGGAAGGTCAGGGTTAGTGGGCCCCGGAAACGGCAGGGCCGTTTTTTCACCGTTTCCGAAAAGATGTCCTTTGAAAATGGAAACGGCAAAAAACAGCGACCGGAAACGGCAACAAAAACGGCTCCAGGATTGGAACCGGAGCGGGAACCCGTTAAAGAACGGCGACGGAACAGGTAAAAAAAAGGCGTCGGAACAGGCAAACAAACGGCAAAACGGAACCGGTAAAAAAACTGCCTTGTCGTTTCCAGGGCCCACTAAGCCCCTACCCTCCACGATTTCTGAGGGGGAGGGTGGGGTTCTTTTCATTCGGGAGCTCCCGAACGAAGGGAGCCTCACCCTCCCCCTCAGAAGTCGTGGGGGGTAGGGGCAGGGTTCGCGTGTGGCCCCCTGATGATGCCTGGGCCCCCGCCCCCTCGCCCCCCCCCCCTTTCCCAAGGACGAGCTGGTGCACGAGTCGCTGCCGCTGGAGGGCGCGTGGGTGGAGCGCTACGGCGGCTGGAAGGGCGCCCTGGGGCGGCGGTCGGGGGGGATCCAGGTTTTCAAGGTCTGAAGGCGTGCTTTTGGCTTTTGTTGGGCCTCTGTCAGCAGGGAAGCAAACACGCAGACACAATTAATCATCGATTCCCCCGAAAATATGGGAAGTGGGGGGGAAGAAACAAAAACATAAACTATTGGAAAATATGGGGAATCGGCTTATTTGTGTCTATTTATTTTTGTGTCCCAGTTTCCTTTCACTCTGGTGCCCAGCATGTTTCAACGCTGTCGGCCTCCAGGGGCCCTCACCAGGCTCCAGGACCGTCAACCAACAGCGACTCAGGATGAAGATCGGCGGCGAGGGAGGGGGGGAAGTGAGAAGGAGGAGGCCTTCTCAGAAGGCTCGGAAGTCCCCCGGCCGTCTGAGAAGTTTTCAGAGCCTCCCCCGAAGGCACCGAAAAAATCTCGGCAGGCGCGAGGGTTTCTGAGAGGTCCCGCCGCCTCTGAGCATATATCGCCACCTTCCCGTATGTGATTCGAGCCGCGGGCATGCGTGGCGAGCGTGGTGCCCAGCGAGTTCTCGTGTGTGGAGCGGCCCTGTTGATAGCTCCAAAGCGTCCTGAGGGGTGGGTTCTTCGCCAGGCCAGTCCCAGAGCTCCCGACCCCTTCCAAGGGGCAGTCTTGCGTCCGGAATCTGTCTCGGATGGCCCCTGGCCCCAAAGAGCGGCCGAACGATTGCGTGGGCCAGCTGACGTTTCTACTCGTTTTTGGTCGTTTACTATCGCTGCTAAGCCGGAGACCCCTCCAAGAGAGGGGCCTCTGAAGGCCTCCTTGGCGATGCTTTGGGGGCCGGTTTTTTTCTGGGGATGTCCCATGCAAGGGCGCCAGTGTGGAATTCTTCGCCAGATGTCCCGAATTTCGCTGGAAGCGGAAGCATTCGAAGGTTTCAAGAGCCTCCCGGGGCGCGGTTTTCTGAGGATGTCCCACGCGTGGGCGCCAGTTTGGAATTCGTCACCAGATTTCCCGGATCTCGCGGGAAACCGAACAGGGGGGCCTCTGAAAGCTTCCTTGAGGATGCTGTTGGCCGCGGTTTCCTGCGGATGTCCCACCCCAAGGCGCCGATTTGGAATTCATCACCAGATTTCCCGGATCTCGCCGGAAACGGGACAGGAGGGCCTCTGCAGGCCTCTTTGGGGAGCCTCCAAGGGGGATTTTCGCGCCCTCGCCGGTTTGGAACTCGTCGCCACAAGATTTCCCAGATCTCGCCGGAAACGAAACATTGGGTGCCTCTGAAGGCCTGCTTGTGGATGCTCCAGGGAGCGGTTTTCTGAGGATGTCCCACGCGAAGGCGGTTTAAAATTCGTCGCCAGATTTTTCAGACGTCGATGGAATCGGAACAGGACGGCTTCTGATGGCCTTTTTGGGGATGCTCCGGGGGCCGGTTTTTTAAGAATGTCCCACGCGAGGGCGCCAGAAGCGGAACAGGGGGGCTTTTGGAGGCTTCGCGAGCTTCAGGGGGCAGGTTTTTTGATCGAGGATGTCCCACGCGAGGGCGCCAGTTTGGAATTCGTTGCTGGATTTGGGGGGCCTCTGGGGTTGCCCGGGGGCCGGTTTTCTGGGGATGTCCAACGCGAGGGCGCCAGTTTGAAGTTCGTCGTCTGATTTCCCGGATCTCGCTGGAAACGGAACAAAGTGGGCGGTTGGCGGGCCTATTCCTTCGTGCGCCTGGGTCCAGGATGGCATAAATTCCACAGAAATTATTTCCAACAACATCAATTGCAACAGCAAAAACAATAACAACAGTTCCCGCTTGATACGTCCTCGCAATGGATTGAAGAGTCGCGCTATCGGTAGGGATTTCCTTGCTATATATATATATATATATATATATATATATAATGCGCATTCGCCTGATACTTCTTCGTAATCTATTCAGGCGTCGCGCTTTCGACACTCAGGAATCGCGCTGTCGCTCGGGACTTCCTCGCAATTGATTCAGGCGCCGCGTCCTCGACACTCAGAACCTGTTCAGGTCTACCCGCCCAATATGCCCGTTTGGTTCTGCCGCGTGTTTTCTGCTCTCGGCCCCCCTCCTGCTCTTTCTCGTACTCCAACCTCTCTCCCCCTTGTCCCTTCCGTCCATCCGCATTAGGTGCTGCACGAAATGCACGCTGCTACTAAGAAAGATGTATACCACCAAGGGGATACGATCGAAGACGAAAAGGGTGGGTATCGAGGGTTTGGGATATACGTGTTGAATGGCACGCGATCAGGTAAGAGCGAACAGCCTTAACATGATTGTTGTTGTTGGTGTTGTTGGTGGTGTAGGGTTACACGGGGTGCCCGTGCACCACCACCACCGCCCAAACCCACACACCCACACCCACGCCCACACCCACACCCACGCCCACACCCACACCCACGCCCACACCCACACCCGCGCCCACACCCACACCCACACCCACACCCATCGAGGGGGTCCCTACTCCGGCTCATAGCATGGAGCTCATCTTACGACTCATACATCGCCGTGACGAAAGTGTCCTTCAATTTGCCTTTTGGAATGACGCGCTCGTGCGGAGTAGTTCGGAGTAGTTTTACTAAAACTACTCCGCGATCAATCGCATCCCGCTCGGTAATGTATATGGTTTGGCGCGGAGTAGTTTCCGATCCCGTTTTGGGGTAACAGAGTGATTAACGTCACCGGGATCGGAAACTACTCCGCCGAATGACCCAGCATCATGTCATGTTAGGAATATTGAGAGGGATGGGAGAGATCATCATCATAGCAAATTGAAGAAATGTTTGTCACGGCTGTGCAGTAGGGGGACTTGATATTATGAGTCATAGTAGGGAGTTCTTACTAGAAATCGTTGTAGGGCGATTATATCATGATTCACACTAGGAAGACGCTACTATAACTCGTAGTCAAGAGCTCCCACTCTGAGTCGTAGCAGAGAGTTTTGTCATGAACCATTTGTAGGGAGCTTCGATTATAAGTCGTAGCAGGGGGTCTCTATTTTGAGTCATAGTTGGGAGCTCCTCTTACGACTCATAGTAGGGAGTCCCTACTATGACTCATAGTAGGGAGTTCCCACCATGACTCATAGTAGAAAGTCCCTAGTATGAGTCGTAGTAGGGAGCTTTTATTCTGATTCATCGTAGGGGTTGCTAGCATGACTCGTAGTAAGCCTACTTCGAGTCGTAGTAGGAAGTCTATAATGACTCATACTGGGGACACCCTATTATGATTCATAGCAGGGAGCTTTTAGTATCTATTCTGGCTCATGACAGGACGCCTGCATTTAAAACCGTAGGACTCAGAGTACGGAGTCCCTCATGAATTCTAGTACGGCGTCCCTATTATGACTCATCTTACGGAGTCCCTACAGAAGTTCGTTCTTATGACTCATAGTACGGAGCCCCTACTTCGATTCATAGTGCGGAGTCCCTACAGGGTCTCGCTACTATGACGCATAGTAGGGAGCCCTACTTTTATAATTCATAGTACGGAGTTCCTACAGGGATTCGCCACGATGAGTCGTAGCACGGAGTCCTTACTGTGAGTCGTAGTACGGAGTCCCTAGTCTGAGTCGCAGCACGGATGAGTCGTAGTGCGGACTGTCTACCATGAGTCATAGTACGGTGTCCCTACTATGGCTCAGAGTAGGGAGCTCCCTGTCATGACTCATAGTAGAAAGTCCCTCGTATGAGTCGTGGTAGGGAGGTTTTATTATTACTCATCGTAGGGTTTTCTAGCATGACTCGTAGTAAGGCTACTTCGAGTCGTAGTAGGGAGTCTATGATGACTAATACTGGGGACAGGGAGCGTCTGTTCTAAGTTGTAGGACTCAGAGTACGGAGTCCCTACTACGATTTATAGTACGGGCTTCCTACAATGACTCATATTACGGAGTGCCTATACTACGATTCATAGTAGGGAGCCTCTACCATGACTCATGGTACGGAGTCCAGGGTCTCGCTACTATGACTCATGGTAGGGAGTCCCTACTGTTGCTCATAGTACAGAGTCCCTGCAGGTTTTCGCTACGATGAGTCTTAGTACGGAGTTCTTACTAGGAGTCATAGTGTTAAGTCCCTCGACTGAGTCGTACTACGGAGTCCCTGTTATTAATTATAGTACGGAGTCCCTAGTATGAGTCGTAGTACGGAGTCCCTACTATGAGTCATGGTACGGGCATGAGTCCCAGTAGGGAGTCTTGCGTCCCAGTAGGGAGTCTGTACCATGAGTCCTAGTACGGAGTCCCCAGTATCCAGAAGACTGCCAGGGGAAATGCTAAGAGGGGGGGATAGGCTCACGAAGGGGCGCTTCGGTTTCCAAGTTCCCATTCATCGCCGAGAAAGGGGGCCTGATAGCCCACCCCGCCCTGGACAGTGCGGGGTCGCCACTGGGGCCCTACTTGTCGCCGGTCTATCGGCAACGTATCACCGATCCAAGTTCGATGTCCTCCTCCCCTTCCCCCGAGCCAGCCCCCCCTAAGGCAAGGACCGCCACGAGAGCGCGAAGTTCTTCGCGTTTCGCGGTTTGCGGTCTGCTTCTTTCTTCTTCGTTCCCCATCTTTTTTTTCCTCTTTCTTCTTCCTCCGTTTGTTCGAGGCCTGATCGGGATAGTTTCCCGACAGCTTCCTTTTGTTAGCAGGCTAACGAAAGCAAGGAATCATCCCAGCTTCGTTGCATCAGGTATGGTTTCTCTTGCAAGTGCACGCTGCGCGTCGCAAGAAGCGTCCAGGCCGTGGAGTTTGTGTGTCCATTGCGACGTGCGAATACAGAGACATTGGTCGCAGCCAACCGTCAGTGTCCCAACTGCTTCAAAGCCGTCCGCTTGTTCGAGCCGAGATCCCCCAAAAGCAGGGTGGTTTTTGTTCGAGTGGTGTGGAGGTGATGCAGAATTGAAGCTAATCATCCTGTACTTCCTCTTGCCCATCCTCCTGCTCATCCCCCGCCTTATCTCTCTCAAGGCTCAAGGCCGTGTTGGCTCAGACTACGACGGTGAGCTGTTTTCAAAAAA